TCAGATAAACAAATGTAGGCATGTAAGATTGATCAAACATTTAAACATTAACTGTTCCTTTCAATAAAGTAACAGAAATCAGTAGTACAACTATCTTAGCTATCCTGTGTATACATATATACATATTTTCCCCTTCTTTTCTTTTCTCATCCCAGTTGTTCTTTCTTTTTGAGCAATTTCTTTCCCTTTCACAATATCTGCTGTACCTTTTAGATTTTATTCACACTTTCAAGTTCTTACACTAATGAGACAATATGGTGTTTACACATGTAGGTCTGATTTATTTCACTTATGATTATGGTCTCTAGTTGTGTCCATTGACCTATAAAAGCCTCGAGTTTATCTTTCTTTATAGCTGAGTAATATTCCATTATATAAAAATACCACAACTTTTTCATCCATTCCTCAGTTGATGGACATTAGGGTTGCTTCCAAGACTTAGCTATTACAAATTGTGCTGCTATAAACATGGGTGCACATATATCACTGTGATATGGTTTTCTCAATTCTTCTGCAAAAATATCCAAAAAGGAAATAGCTGGTTTGAATGGGACCTCTAATCCTAGTGTACTGAGGAATCTCCAAACTGATTTCCACAGTGGTTTCACCAGTCTACACTCCCACCAGCAGTGGAGGATTCCTTTTTTCCCACAGCCCCTCCAGCATTTGTTACTGGTTGATTTCTTGATGATAGCCATTCTTTCTGGAGTGAGATGGAATCTCAGTGTTGTCTTAATTTGCATTTTTTGAATAACAATGTTGAACATTTTTTCATGTGCTTATTTCCTATTTTTATTTCTTCATCATTACTATTTCTTCATCTGAGAAGTGTGTATTCATCTCAGATGCCCATTTTTGGATTGGGTCTTTGAACTGGGGGGGTTGATTTTTTTTAATTCTTTATATGTTCTAGATAGAAGTCCTTCATCTGAGGGACAGTTGGCTAAAATTTTTTCCTAATTTGTGGGTTTTCTTTTTACTCTGTTGGTGATTTCTTTCGATGTACAAAAACTTTAAATATGATGAGATCCCAGTTTTTGATTGTTTGAAGTATTTCCCATGCAGTTTGGTTTTTGTTCATGAACTCTCTGCCTACCCCTATACCTTCAGGATTTTTAACTACTTTCTCTTCCAGTAATTTAGTGTTTCTATTTTAATATTTGGATCTGTGATCCGTTTTGACTTGAGTTTGGTGCATGGTGATAGACATGGGTCTAGTTTGTCTTTGGCAGGTGGCCGGCCAGTTTTTCCAGCACCATTTATCAAAGAGGCTATCTTTCTTCCAGTGAATTTGTTTGGCCCATTTATCAAAGATTAGGTGGCTGAGTGTCTTTGTGATTGTAGCTGCATCTTCCAGTCTGTTCCATTGATCCTCAGGTGTTTTTTGCCAGTACCATGCTGATTTTATCACAGTAGCTTTGTAGTATAATTTCAAGTCAGGGATTCTGAGGCCTCCTGCCTTGCCTTTGTTACTCAGGATTGCTTTTGCTATTCTGGGTCTCTTCTGGTTTCAGATGAATTTTCAGAATGTTTTCTCTAGATCTGTGAGGTATACTAATGGTATTTTAATTTGAGATCTGTGAGGTATACTAATGGTATTTTAAATCTGTACAAAAATTTTGGGAGTATGGCCATTTTCACAATGTTGGTTCTTCCTATCCATGAGCAAGGAATATCTTTCCATTTACTGAAATCCTCTTCAATCCCTTTTTTCAGAGTACTGTAGTTTCCACTATATAGGTCTTTTACTTTGTTAAATTGATTCCCAAACATTTGTTTTTTGGATGCTATGGTGAAAGGTATGGTTTCCTTAATTTCTTAGTATGCTTGTTGTGTATAGGAGTGCTATTGATTTTTGAGTGTTGACTTTGTATCCAGCTACACTACTCAATTTGTTTATTAATTCTAGGAGTCTTTTGATGGAGTTTGTGGGGTCTTCCATGTAGAGTATCATGTCATCTGTGAATAATAATTTCACTTCTTCCTTTCCTATCTTTATTCCTTTTCTCTGTCTTATCTAATTGCTCTGGCTAATGCTTCCAGAACTATATTGAATAGATCTGATGACAGTGGAAATCCTTGTCTTGTTTCTGACTTAAAAGTGAAAGCTTTCAGTTTTTGTCCATTTCATATGATGTTGGCTGTTGGTTTGTAGATGGCTTTGATCAGATTGAGGTAAAAACCATCTCTTCCTATTTTCTGTAGATTTTTTTTATCATAAATGTCAAGATATATTTTGATGAGCTTCTTTCATATTTGTTGTTCTGTAAGCATCACTTGTATTTTAAACTCTACTGTAATCTTTGTAAATGTTAATGAATCCATCTGCACTATCTAGTTTTTCTACAACTCCAGTTAGCCTTAAAATTGTTCTTGTCATCTAGTAGCTGCTTCTTCTTGTTATCTAGTAGTCTTGTTTTTTCTTTGTGGTTTCTCACACACTTCATAATTCAGTATTTTGTTCTCCATTTCAGACACTGTATCTTCATATTGGTCATTTCTGCAATTTATGAAGTCTATAGTCTGTGTTTCAGGTATTTAACATTTTCTGAAAGATTCATCTTTGTTGAATCTGTTAGTCCAACTTTTGACCATTTTGGTTCATGGTCATCCAGGTTTTTTTTATCAATTTCCCTGAAATTCACTGTGCACATATTGAGTGAAGTTGGTCAACTTTTGTTTCCTTGCCTTTTTTAACTCACCATTTTACTCATCCCTTCTGAAAGCTACCTAGTATTTTTTTCTTTTCCCTCACTACCCCTTGCTCTGCCTTGGGAGAACTGGATAAGCTCAGGAAACGTCTGTTGCCTTGCTTCCCTGTGCATATATACTGCCGTATATATTCTCAAGTTTGTGGCTTATATGGAGGTTTTTAGTAGGATGTTGTCTTCTCCATGAATAATTTTCAGATTTGTATGGCCAGTGCTAGTATTTACTCCTGTTATTTTCTTTAATTGATTTGGATTCTGTCACTCTGTTTTGCCAAAAGAATTACTTCTGCCAGGCGTGTTGGCACACACCTGTAATCCCAGCATTCAAGAGGCTGAGGCAGGAAAATCGTTGCGAGTTCAAGACCAGCCTGGGCTACAAAGTGAGCTCACAGCTGGCCTGAACTACACAGCGAGACCCTGTCTCAAAAAGATAAAACAAAAACAAAAACAAAAAAAAGAGAATTACTTCTGGTTATAACATCGAGACTGTTATACAACACTATATGGATGTACAGTGATCCAATGATGAACACTTGGACTTCCACATTACGGTTACAGTGAAACCATAATGTGGTTTGTGCAGTTTCTGTGTGGACATATTTCTTTTGGGTAGATAGGCAGGGTTGGTATGGCTGGGTTGAGTGGCAATACATTTTTTTTAGGGCCTGCTTTTCACAATAGCCACATCGCTTTATACCTGTCAGCAGTTTTATAAGGCCCCACATCTTCACCAATACTTGTTTGTCTGACATTGTGAATATAGCATCCTCGTGGTGAGAAGTGATGTCTCACTATGGTTCTGATTGCATCTCTTTCATAAACTAATCCTGAGCATCTGCAAATGTTCTCTCTTCTTTAGAGAAATGTCAGGGACCTAAGAAGTACAGATTTTTGCTCACCTGGCTCTCATAACACTGTGATATGGCTTTAGTCTTCCTCTTTCATAAATCGGAAAACTAATGATACAGTGATTATAGATTTGCATTTTTTTTTCAGTGCTGCGGATTTAACTGAGGGCTTTTTGCATCCTAGATGCTGCTTATGAAGTTTAAATCCATTTAAAGTGTACTTGTATGTGAAAGAACATTTTACTCTTTTGTAAGTACTTACACTTTTATAGTAACAATCAGTGTACCAGCAGTACTTTTACTCCACATACCCAGCAGGCACCCAGTGCTTCCCATGTGTCAACATGTGCGCACAAGCAAGGCAAGACTCGTCCCCTACAGGTGAGAAACAGCAACACTAAGGTGACTCCCCAGGGTCATTTAGCATGCACTGAACCACTCTGAAGCCTCCTCTGGGTATGCTCAGACATGCTGCACCCCACCACATTCACTCACTTTCATGTCAGAGAAAGGATGTGCACCAAGAGGTAATAGGGAAGCTCCAACCACTCTAGCCCCTGCCTGGTAAGACATACAGCAAGGGGAGATGGGAGTGTAACAAGGTTTGTCACTGGACAGACTGAAGGGTATATTGGTTTCTACCGGAACGTAATTCAAGTGCATCAAATAGAATCTCAAGAAAGTGGACTGGGTATGGGGGTGAGCATCTCAATACTCAGGAGGCCGAGGCAGGATTTCCTTCTATTTGAGGCCAGCCTGGATTACACATTAGTTCAAGGTTAGCCTGAACTACATAGTGAGATGCTGTCTCAAAAAACAAAACAAAAAAAACTCTTAGCAAAGGAACAGTTCTGTTCCTTAAATGGGCCCTTCAAACAATCAGTATTTTATTATACTGTTTTTATAACAAGATTGAGAGTCTGGATTTTATTATGGGTTGAATATATTATCCTGAAATCAGCCTGTGACCTTATCTGCAACAGGGTCATTGCAGATATAATTAGCTGAGATGATGCTGGAGTACTGTGGGTCCCTAATCTAATGTGATTGTTGTACTTATAAAAAGTGGAAATGAGGAGACAGACATACACAAACCCAGGAACCACTGGTGCAGACAGAGGAGGAGACTGAGGAGATACATCTACAAACAGCCAAGGACTGCCAGTGATCCACCAACCCCCAGGAGCCAGGAGAGTCTGGGAATAGATTTTGCCTTATAATTTCAGAGGGAACTAATACCACTAACAAGTTATCAGAATTCTTGCCTCCAGAACTGTGCAATCATAAATTTCTGTTGTTGAGGCCATTTAGTTTTTGGCTCTTTGACATAGTAACCCTAGAAAACTAAGTGAAGTATGAGAACTCACAGGACAAACATCTTGATTGCACTCCAAAAGGAAAGAAAATAACTAATTTTGACTATCAAAATCCATAATCCATATATTTTCTTAACAATTGTGATTGTTCCTTCAACATGTGTTTATTTGCTTCAATTAGTTAAGGTGTGCAACCCTTACTCAAGGACCCTCCAAGCCTCTGAGTTCCACGTGATTTTCCAAAGGCTCTACACAGTTGAAAATATTTCCACATAAAAACAGCTCCACAGCATTTATCTGCAGACTGTGATGACAGTGCCTCAGTATCTGTATTTTGTAGAATAGTCCTTGGGAGACACCACCAGGCCTCGTCCTTTGCGGGCACCACGATACACGGTCTCTATTATGTCAACCATCTCCTGCTTATCTTCCATGGCCCAGTTAATCTTGTTATTGTTGCCAGTGCCCAAGTCAATCATGATGTGTTTGTTCCTGTTAAGAGAAAAGGGTACCAAAGCTCAGAGAAAGAATTCTGCAAAAAAAGTATCTGCGTATCCTGCTAGCACAATTTCTGGTTAACCCTGTTTTAAGGAGGGGCTGGGGATTTAGCTCAGCGGCAAAAGCGCCTGCTTGGCAAGTGCAAGGTCTTGAGTTCAGTTCCCGGGACCGGAGAAAAACCAAAAAACAAAAACAAAACCCTGTTTTAAGGATACATATAATCAAGAGGCGAAACCACAGTGCAAGAGAAGATGGAAACAACGTACATGCTATTTCTAAAAAGTGTAACACAAAGACTACTAAGCTCTTTCTTTTATTTTTATTTCCTTTGGACAAATATTTTATATGGTAAGCAAAGTTTTACACACTGAGACAAGCTGTTTTCTAGAGGGCTGTACTAATAATTGTCCTGAAAAGCAATGTATGTTTTATATTGTTCTTACAAGCACTTGGTATAAATTTATTAAAAGCCTTACAACTGTGAAATGAAAATGACATTTTGGGTTTTTGTTGTTGTTGTTAAGACAAGGTCTCACTACATACTTTAGGCTGGCCTCGAACTTGTGGTGATCCTCTTGCCTCAGCCTCCAGTATACTGGGATTACAAGGTGTGAGCCACTATACCCAGCCTCTTTCTATCTTTATGACTAGGAAAGTAGATGTTCCTTTAAATACTTATGTTTCAAAAGGCTAAATTTCTTCTTATAAATTTATATTTGCACTTTCCAAAATAACAATGCTAACCTCTGTTGCATTTGCATATTTTTTTTTCTGATCTGTTGAGGATTTATATTAGTTTAACTTGTCACTGTTATAGGAACATACATTTGCCTTTAACATCGGTCCACGAAAGCAATCAGTGTGAGGATTCTGGCTTGGCTTTCAACCAATAGCTCAAAAGCTAATCTGATGCCACTTTTCTACATCAAGCATTTGCTGTAATGATAACATTCCAGGGCCTCTCACTGGTCCAGGAACCCAGGGATAGAAACCTTACTTCCTCTCATCCTCATGCACTGTGTTGCACTGCCCTGCTTCTGGCTCGTCCTCTGTGCCCATGTGTCCAGCTCAGTGAATGCACCAAACTAATCTAAACAGTGTGGGTGGTCCAGCGCTTTACACTGTGGCAGCCTTGATTTCAGACTCACGTCTTTGGTACTAATGTCTCTATAAAGCTGTCCCCCACTTACTTTGGTATTTCTTCTATCAAGATAGGTTCACAGAGCCTAGTCTGACATCATGTCCCAGCACGAGACAAGCCCGGCATATTTGGTGCAGGCAGTGACTAAAGTACTATTGCTATCTGCTCTAGAATTGTGGGTCATAGAAATAGCAGAAGGAAGCCTAACTTTCTTTTCTAAATATGCCATCAGCCCTAAAAATCACAAAACATACAAAGTATGTCCCTGCCACCACCTCAAGATTGTTCCTACAATTCCTTGTCTATCACAGTATCTCTAGTTCCTGAGATGGCTATCCCTGAACCACATGAAGAAGGAACTTGTTACTCTAATGAAGGAACAAGGGTCCTTGTCACATAGTGGGAATAACAAGCATACTGTGTCCTGCAGTTGTCTGAAATGTAGAACTTATAAGCAATGAGCTTTGATATTTAGCCAAGGAAATTCCCAAGCAAAGCCTTTGTTTTTGTTTTCATTCTTTTTGTTTTGTTTTTGAGACAGGAACCCACTTCATAGTGCAGGCTGGACCTGAAGTTACTATGTAGCCTAGACTGACCTCAAACTCACAATTACCTTCCTGCCTGAGCCTCCCAAGTGCTGGGATTACAGGAGCACACCAGGAGTGCACCTGGCCCAAGCAAAGTCTCGAAGGGGCTGCCTGGCTTCTTCTTGCTACTTACAGTAAAATGAGAGGAAACAAATAAACTGATATAAAAACTGCTAACTAGATTAACTCCTCTCTAGATGACAAGGTGGTGAAATGCAGCAATGGCTGCACACAGAAAATGAGGACATGGCCATACAGCCTTTTGTTGAAATCCAGGCAAATTTACAAGTCAGTGTACTCAGTCACAAGAGGTGAAGGCTGTGCCTCATGGGTCTTGTCAACCGAACAGGAGGCACATGGTACCTATAGGCACTGTCCCTCATTGAGTTTACCTTATGTCCTAAAAAATGTGAGGGACAGAGAAGAGTAAGTAGAGGAGGTGACAGCCCCAGTGCAGGTTCAAGAAGCAATGTAACAAACTACCCAACCACAAACACTGATCATGAAATAAGGACTCAAGAAGAACCACTTCCAGAGGGTAGAACATGAGGCCATGAGAATAACCCCATGCAGTGAAGCCTAAGGACTTTGCCCAGCCTTGGATGGCACTTTCCTTCCCTGCTCTCCTCCCACTTTTGTGAGATGGCCTCACTATGTAGTTGAGGTTGGCTTTGAACTTGTGGCCATCCTCCTGCCTCAGCCTCCAGAGTGCTGGGATTACAGTTGTGTGCCACCATGCCTGGCCCACCTATGTTAGGGGCAGGGAGCTTCACTTGTGTCTGAGCTTTACAGGTCCACAGGGAAAAAGGAACAATGCCCAGGAAATATGCGTCCATGGTTTAGATGATCTGGACAATGAGATTCTGGAATTTGGACCTGATGCTGTTCTGTGGTAGGATCGTCAGTAATTCTGGAGAGGGATGTTTTCCTTACAGGTGGCATACAAATCTTTGGGAGCCAGAGTGCAGACTGAAATAGCCCAAATCCTAAAATGCTCCACAAGACTCTGAATATGCTAGGCTTCATGCCTGTAATTCTATGACAGGACACTGCTAAGGAAATTTTACAGACATGATTCAGGTTTCTAATCCACTGACTTTAAAATAAGATTATCCTGGATCATCTAGGTGAGTCTAACAGTTCTAACCTTCTAAAAGCAGAGGTAGAACTGGAAGACAGAGACAGTGCACTAACTGATGCCGACTGTAGAGATGAAGAGGCCTCAAGAGCACAGTGGCCCCAAGCTGACAGAAGCAAGGAAACAGAAACCTCAGATACACAACCAGAAAGACCTGGATTCAGCCGATACTCTGAATAAGCCAAGGTGAACTCTTCCCCACGCCCTCCAGAGAACCATTCACTCTACAATTTTGGCTTGTTGGACCCTGAGCAAACAATGCACCTGATCCTGACGGGTCTCATGTAACTACCACACTGAACTCATAGACAGGTGCTGACGTCCGTGGCCAAATTCATGCAAAATATGAAACTAACAATACACACCTATGCAGTCCATGGAGACCTCTCTTACCACTATGAAGTGCTACTTCTGGAGGAAGGCCCAACACTCATATTGCTATTTACCAACTTCTTAGAAGTACAGTAAGAAATTTTGATAATAATAGTGTCAAATGGTGGTTGCTTTCCAAATTACATCTTTACAATAGAATTTTGAAGCTGATAAAATATTGTATCTATAGAAAAAAGTAATTAAATTCAGGTTTTCCTCCAGAGTCTTAGAAAAGGACACTAAGGTTTTTTGTTTCCTTCTTTGAGATAAGGTCTCACTGTATAGTCCAGACCTTGAATTCAATATGTAGCCCCAGGCTGACCTTGAATTTTCAGTGATCCTCCTGCCTCAGCCTCCTGAATGCTGGGATTATAAGCATGTGCCACCACATCTAGCAGATATTAACTTATTGATATCATATTTAATAAATTATTTTAAGATATTTTTCATCAATAGAATATATTTAAAGATAACCTAAATGTTAGTTAAGAATATCTTCCATTTCATTATACTTCACTCAGGTTTCTGGGTAGCTATTTCAAAAAAGGTTACTGAATAAATGCTACAACTGGAATTACTATTTTGAAAATCATTTAAAAGATACTGACTGCCTTGTGATACCAACTGCCTTATGATATAGCTACATAATTTGATTTCTTCCTAAATAACATAACCTGCCCTGATTATCTCAAACTTCCAAACCAAGAGTATTCTATTTAAATAATGATTTAAAGTAACATACCTGAAAAAAAACATGACAGTACAAGGATCATATAACTCATACATTTTGTTGAAGTCAGGTACTTCAGTAATATCCACGAGATAAATAACTGCAAAATTTTTAACCTAAAAGTAAAGGAGATTTTAAAAATAAAACAGGTAAACTGGACAATTTTTTTCAAATCAATTATCCAACATTTTTCCCTACAGAGCTAATACATAGGAAAATAATGCAGCATACCAGCACCCTAACCAACCAGTTAGTTGTAACTCATTTTGACATTTCTCAGAATAGCTTAGGAACTAGCTAAACTTAAGTAACAAACTAAAGTCCTAAAGAACACAGCCACAGAGGTATCATTTGTGCTGATCTCTGAATGATCTATATGATTTTTCACAAATTTGTACTTTTACAAATATGTATTACATGTATTCAACAACTGGTCTAAAACATGCCTGCAGAATTCAGCCATCCATTTCCCCCTAGTTACTTCAGCTTGAACATATGCAAGTCCTAATAGTTTGAACTCAAAGTAATACTGCACAATTTTCTATAACTTCCTTTAACTGCAAATTTATCAGGAAAGTTTAGAAAACCCAGAAAAAAAAAAAAAAAACGAACCACAGTGGTACCTTGGTTCATGAACTTGATTCTTTCCACGATTCTGGTGGCAATCTGAGTTAGATGAAAATCGAATCAAATTCAATGGTTAGGCTCAATGAGGTACCACTGTAAAATAACTTCCAATCCCATACTCAGAGGTCACTACTACTAACATTTTTGCTTATTCTGTCCAATCTTTTTTTCTGTGTATATTTTGAAAATTTATTTATATTAACACAATATGATCACATAATTATTAACAATGTTATTTTTATCCGGTTTTTATATGCCATTATTTCATCATCATTCTGTTATTTGCTGATTTTTCATGAATATCACTTATCTGTATACACTTTTACCCTCAATTTGTGGACATATTTCATTACTTCTAATCATAAAATAGAATTTCTAATCACAAAATAGAATCTCAGCAACAGACAGTGGACATGCTAAAGGATCTTTATAAATACTGTGTCCATGCCCTCTAAAAAGCTTATATCAACTTCATGCATTATGGGTTGAACTGTGCTCCCCTTAAAAAAAATAGGAAATCCCAGTTCCCAAAATTGAGAATGTGACTTACTTAGAAAAAGAGTCACTACTGATGAATTAAGTTAAAGTAAGATGGGTTTTGGAGTTAGCACAGAAGCCCACCATTAAGCCAAGAGCAGGAAAGGAACGCTGAAAGTGTAGCTCAGTGTTATAGCAAACGCTTAGTGGGTATGAGGCCCTGGGTTCAAGCCCCAGTACCAGAAACAAAGGCATCCAGACAGGAGATTCCCATGTGGCTCTATGTTGAGGCCACAGTTCAAATCAGACAGGACTCAAAAGTGTCCTGGCTCCTGGAAGGTCAGTGGTGACCATGTGAGATGTGCAGAGGTTGTGTGGCCAGAGTGAAGTTCTGAAGAACAGAAGTGTGAAGTGTGCACAACGCTCCCAAAATGCTCATAATGAAAAAGTGGGAAACGGTGCTGATAAACTTGGGAGCTGAGACGGGAGAAGCTGAAACAGGACAGAGTGGGGAAGGAGGGGTGAGTCTCCATAGCCCCCACTCCTTTTACTTCTTGGTGAAACAAGAAATGGCATCTGCAGGTGAAAGGAGGTGAGCTTAGCAGCAAACATCTGACTGCAAGTGCTGCATCCACTTAAAGGCAATTGAACTACCTCATCTGTTTGATAAATGAGGACACTAGATATCCTCACTCAGTAATCCTGAAAAATTTTCACACTGTAAATGCTAGTATTATAGTAACACATTTGTTCTTTTGTCAATAAGCAAGAAAACTATAGGTCACCCAGAAGTAAAATAAACCATAACTAAATGGGGTGCCGCAGTACTTTTCCCCTTTCCTTTCTGTATGAGTGACACCATGTCTTTCGATCAGTCTGAAGCTGCACAAGAGAAACCACGTCTGTCATCTGCACTGAGGCCTCCCCTGACTCACAGTATCTGACACACACAAAGCGCTAGATAAGTGGTAATTGAATGAATAAATTTTATCAGTAAAGGTATTATTTCAAAATTCAAGAAGCATATCATTATCACTGAAAATGTATCTTTGGAGAGTATGGATGTAACATAATCTTTATTACATAATCTTAATAGTAGTATAAAAATTGTAATTCTACAGTCCTGCCTTAAGAGAGGGTGTAATCCAATCCATCATTTAGGAGCAGGGTCCTTCTTTCTAGTAAGGATACAGTCACCATCTATTAGTTGTATATCCAGTTTGGCAGCTATGTGAGAAACTGGTAATACAATGCCAAATTCGCCCTCTTCAACCTTTAACTCTTGAGCTCCCTCAGTGTCTCCTTGGAAGAGCTCTGGTCTGTGGGGCTGCACAGACTCTGCTTCTTTCCACGTGGGCTGAAATGCAGATATAGTAGTACTAGTTCTGAACACTTCAATCCATTAATGAATGTGCAGTTCACTAAGGCACCAGTGTATTTTTTATATAAAACTAAAACTAAGCTATGTGCCCACTATTATTTCCAATATAAAAATGTCCATTTTAAAAATACAAAAATGAAATGGAAAAACCATTGCTTTGTATCTGCCCAGTACAGTATATTTTTATACAGGTTATGTAACTTTAAAAAACACATGACAGTCAAATAAAATAAACAGTATGCAAGTGTTTTAAAGTAAAAAAGTAAAAGTTTTCCTAATGTAGACTCATGCCTGTCAGAAAAGCACATACAAATGCTGCCCCATATTAAATAAAGCTTCTGGGGTTGGGGAGATCCACGTTTACATCCATCCAACTGGAGTAAACATTTCCAGTTCAAGCTCTGCCATTTTTTAATTTATTATTTTCCAACACCTGCAAAAGAGAAAAGTTCTGAGGATTCCCAGAGATGAACAACTTCCAAGCTTTGTGACTGGCCCAACTATTCAATACATGGATCATTCTTGCTATCATGCTCTCTGGTCAATAGTCTGGTTGTTTTCAATTTCATTACAAATTATAGCAGAGTTTTCACTGAGCACAGAGCTGTGCATACTTAGGGTTTTTTCCTCCTACTGAAGAGGTAGAGCCACTCCCTCTTCCGTGACCATTCTTAGAGCTCTTCATATGATGCTGAAAGGCTTTCCAAAATGACTCTCAATTTTCTTGCTACCTGAACATTATATTGACTTTCACCCCAACTACATCTCATCTGTATGGCTTTCTTCTCTTCAGTCAAGTCAGCAATTTGGCTTCTGTGTGCCGTTAAGTCTGCCTTTCACATAAAACTAACTCCCACAAAATACATGGTTGAAAGCTGGCATATGATGCCAACTACCATTTCACATTTTTGTACAGAGCTTCTCAACCAGTGAAGAATCCAACTAAAATTATTAGAAAAATTTCAGTGCAGTTGACCAGTACTATGAATTTTTGAATTGATGATTTTTACATTTTTAGGTAATTCACTTTAAAGTCACTAAATAACTGAATGATAACCTTTTCAAAAATTAAGACAGTACTTGCTTTAGTTAGCTCCACTCATAAAATCTTGCAAATTTTGTAATGTGAGAGAGGTAATCATACATAGTAATAATACCTTATGATTATGGAATACACTACTGCTATGTGATAGGAAGTCTTCTAAAAACACTTTTTGGGGAGGCTTAAATGCCTATTTAACCAAGCCTTAAAATCATACATCCACTTTCAGTTTGTCAACAAGTACAGTACACATGTAAGCAACAGCCTAGTAAATTAGAAGTAGAGGAAAAATTACAGTTCCTTTTGCACACTGGCACCTCACCACAACACCGTCTTTAGGCTGATGCCTTGGGGTATGTTAACAGTTAGGAGAAAAAAACTAGAATAGCTCAAGTCCATCTCCTACCTCCCTAGGGTGGATTTCGGTAGTTTCCTTTCTTTTTTCTTTTTTTTTTTTTTTTTTTGGTACTGGGAATCAAACTCAGGACCTTGCACTTGCCAGGCAGGTACTTGTGCTGCTGAGCTATACCCCCTGGCCCAGCCAACCTTTCCATATTAATCTATTCCCACAATAATCCTAGAAGCCCAGCAATAATATCTTTTTTATCCACAAAGGAGATGAGCCACAGGGACCAGCTAGTAAAGGTCAGTTGACTGGCATGTGGCAAGTGTCTAGCTGAAGCTCATACCCCCATCACTACCCAGTACCTCCCCCATGACTTTCTGCTAGCTACAAAGCTGTTTATAACCAGAGGCAAAAATTCTCAATATGCATTGTTTGTTCTTATGAGATTTCTCATCTGGCTAAATGCTGCTTTCATTGTTCAAATGACTCTCTGAATCCTTAATGGGTTGCTTAAAGAAAATTCCCTAATATTCTTTCAAAATTCCATAAATACATTTACCTTATACACAATTCTATTGAAATACACTATTTTGCATCAATGTTATCACTCATGAAATTTTAAACTCTATTTGTATGGGCTTTTTAACACACAAAAATTAAAACACCCATTTATTCTTATTCACCATGGGATTTAGGGAAGTGTGAACCCTAAAGCAGTACTGTGACAAACCATATTACGACAAAATGGAAAATCAGCTCAAAGGTACATAAAATAGTCTCTTTAAAAACTGCATCAAATCAACAGCTATACAGGAAACAATTTTTTTTTTTTTGAGACGGGGTCTTGCTATGTTCAGGCTGGCCTCGAACTAGCAGTGATCCTCCTGCCTCAGCCCCTTGAGTGCTGGGAATACTGACGTGCACCGCCACACCTGGAAGAAAATTTAATTTTTTAAAAATTATAACCATTTCAACTCTTTCCCATATGTATTCAACTCTTTATACCTGGAAGACCTTTACATACCTTCAAGTATTATCTGTGAGTTTCTAGACTAATTTTTTTCATTTAAGTATTTAGCTCAAAACTACCAAGTATCAGGTGGTGCTGGGCACTGCAGAAGTAGCAATTTGATATAACACATTCTAAGAGAAACAATATAGTCACATTCAGCCTGAACATGTGGAACCTTTATTCACTTTAAAACTGCTGGATAACCAAACAGGGCTTGTAATAAGATGAGGAAGATCCCCCATTATCTGCCACAGTGGGAGATTTTTAGAGCTATACTATGTACTAACACCTTAAATTTTAAAAACTCCTGTTGAACTTCCCTCAAAAGGGCTTTCAGAATTATGAATTCATATTTTTCATTATATTAAGAAGAAAATAAGATACTAAGTCTCCTAGTACACTTCATTTGCATTTTTAGTAACTATAACTCAGCATTAAAAGTTTATTTAAAAGGTAATCAAGCTGGCCATTGTGGTACACATTTATAATCCCAGAACTTCAAGAGGCTGAGGCAGGAGGATTCCAAGTTTGAGCGGAGCCTGAGCATCACAGTAAGACCCAGTCTTAAAATTAAAAAAAAAAAAGGGGGGGGCGGGGTGAGGATGTAGCTCAATGTGAAGGCTCTGGTTTCAGTACCCAGCATTACCAAAAATAAATAAATAAATAAATAAATAATAAGTTTTCAAACGAAAGGTATATAAAAGATCAAAGAAAATACCAAAACTTGAGCCTAGTTGAACTGTCCTTATCAACAGGTTCAATATGAAATGAAGTATGTGTTCAGCAGTAAGCAATACAGTGTCATTCATAACTGATGCAATTCGGAAAGAGGAGAATAAGTCTCTACGGGCTTACATAAACACATGTCAAAACTGCTTCACAGCTAAAAGCTTCTTGCTGAACTTACTTAGCCATGAAGAGCCAAAAGCCCTCACACCTCCAAGCTATCCTCATAGCAAGGACAGCAGCAGGCTCTTAACACCATATGATGCTTGGCTGAACAGTGCGATTCCACAATCACAGCCCAAATTATTTCAATCAATACAGCGGTGATGTGTTTATGGTGATTAGTCACTGAATTTCAGCAGCACCTGCCCTTGTCCACTACGGCTTTCACAACGCAAAAATGACTTTCTGATACTGCCTCATTCATTACCTCTGGCTCCCAGATGGCAATAGCCCCAGAATGTGAGAGAACTGCTCAATTTCCCAGGCACCTGCTCAAGTCCCCACTGTCATGGAGTCCAGGAGGAAAATGCTGGGGAAATGGCTGACTGAGCATTTCTTTGAACCAGACTTCCCCTGAGGGGTTCTTACAATTGAGGTCTGAGGTCAAGCCACACAATTCCCTGGAAAGCTTCTGTAACAACTTTTTCTGCCTGACCTCCCCTCTCCAACTGAGAGCATCTGAATCTCAAGAGATGCATTTCAGAAGCATTCTAAGAGATACGTTTTGATTGAAATACAGAACAGTCCCTAACTTGCTGCCTCTCCTAAATAAGTTACCAAAAATTAAACAATGGCAGGTCAGATAGTGGTCCATGCTACAGATAAAAACATATCCTTACTTTTGTTACTATTCACTTCAAGGAATTATATTAACTCAGCTTACATTGGCAGCTGTGAGAGAAAAAAATTGATTCAGTGTTTCTATTAATTTTATTCCTTGTTTCAATGAATAACTTCTTAAATTATCTATGAAATACTAAAGTTAAATATTTTATTAACCCTTTACTATGTGTTTTTTGCCTTATTGCTACAATTGCAAAAACCCAAATAAAACTTATCCCAAAACTGTCATAAGGATTTTTTGGGGGGTGCTACAAGGGACTGACTCTAACTGTGCTCTACCACTGAGCTATATCCCTTGCCCTTTTTATTTTGAAATAGAGTCTTGCTAAAAATCAAGCCTGCTCTTGAGCTTTCTTTTTTCTTTCATCTTTTCTTCCATTTCTTTGTTTTTTTTTGGTTTTTTGGGGTTTTTTTTTTTTTTGGTACTGGGGATTGGATTGAAGCCAGGACCTTTGTACTAAGCTATATAATGACCTCTTTATATATTTTTTAAGTTTTAAGATAGGGTCTAAGTTGCTAAATTGCCCAGGTGATCCTTCTGCTCTTGTCTGTCAGAGTGCTGAAATAACAGGCCAGCAACCATCATTCCCAGCTTGTCTTGAACTTCTGATACTTCTGCTCAAGCCTCCTGAGAATTTGGGCTTAAATGAGTTTGCCTCTGCATCTAGTTTATCATAATGCAAAAGAATAAAACCCCTGGTCATACAACAATGCCCTACAATTGCAGCAAACAAGTGCCACAGACCACCTAGTGAACTAATACGAAAAATCAGAAAAACTAGTTCTAACCAAATATAATTTTATTTTCTCCGAACATCTGTGTTTGAATCATTCCAAGCTGCAAATCGAATGACTCACAAAGGGCATAGAAGGATAAAGGAAAAAAACAAAGGACAGGGTTTACCATAGTATTAATGCAAAAGGTATGTATGTATATATGTATTTATTTTTTTATTGAAACAGGGTCTCACTATGGAGTCCAGGGTGGCCTCGAACTTGCTGCAATCTTCCGGTCTCAGCCTCCAAGCGCTAGGATTACAATGCTGCACCACCATGCCCGGCCAAGCTCTGCTTTTAATTATTATTATTTTTTTATATTTTGATTTTTTGAAACAAGGTCTCACTATGGAGTTTAGGCTGCCCTTGAACTCATTATGTAGCCTAGGCTGGCCTCCATCTTGTAGCAATCCTCTTGTCTCAGCCTCCTGTAATCCAGTGCTGCGATTACAGGCATGCACCACCATGCCCGGTTTCAACTCTGCTTTTTTAAACACAATAAACAAGATAGAAAAAAATCCTCTTGAACTATGCTACTTAAAGTAAACGACTTGCAACAAAACCGACAAATGTGTTTTGTTCACTGCAGTAAAAAAAATTTTAAAAATACCCTAACAATAGTAACCACTACCTTATTTTGGGAGAGGGGAACCGTGAATCTCTAAAAATTGAGAATCTACGGACACTTCTAGAAACAGGCGAAAGTTATCCCGCCCAACTCCAGGGCTCACATCCTCACTTTGCCAAGGCTGGACGCCTGTCTAATAAGAATCCTGAGTCTTTCTCTATGGCTAACTGGGCCTACACCTTAGAACGCGCCCATTAGTAATAACAAACTTAGGACGCGGGTTTTGGTTTCACGTTCAACAACTGGCATCGGGAAGCAAATTTGCGCACAACCGAAAGGTCAGGCAGGCAGTGGACATTACCTTTTCGGCTATGCTGTACAGAACCTCGTCCATCTTCATGCAGGTAGGGTCCCAGTCGTGTCCGAACCGAATGACCACAACTCGATCCTCCTCCGAGAGGATGGCCTGATCCACCTGCCAGCCGTTGTGGAGGTGCGGGAGCATGTACGACATCCTGGCGCGGCAGGCTCCGCGGCACGGCGCCGCGCGCGAGTCGCCTGCAGGCGCGGGCAAAGACTCTGAGACTGCTTCTAAGGCCCAGGGGCGGCAGCGCTCAGGGGCCGGGGCCTCCCCAAAGTCCCGAAGGCGCCCTCCCCGCCCGAGCCCAGACCGTCCGGGACCTCCCCGACCTCGTCACGACTTGCCCCGGGCCCTCACGCCCTGCACTTCACCGGAGCAGCGGCTGCCGCGCAGCGGAACTTCCGGGAGCGCGAGCAGTGCGCATGTGCGCGCTGACGTGTGTGCGCTGACGTACGTGCGCGCTGACGTATGTGCGCGCCTCAGCCGCCGGGGCGCCGCGACCTGCACCTCCTCGCCTAGTCTGCCAGTGGGTGCCGCTGTGTCCGTGTCCTCGGGGCTGTGCACTGAGTCCCCGCGGCCTGGGAGGGCTGTCTCGTTCAGCCCGGCATCGTCGTGTCGAAGGGGCAGCACGCTGCATCCGGAGGACACGGAGGCCTTCGCGCGCCGCTCCGGGCCGGCCTGCGCCGCGGAGCCCTGAGCAGCCGGGCTTCGCACTCGGGTCTGCAGCCGCGCGTTAGCGAGAGCGCTCCGAAGCTCTAAGCGTGTCGCTGCTAGTTCGTTTTAAGTCTTTCTTTTTGTTTACATTTTTATTGGATAAAATAAATGATAAACATTCTTTGCTTGGCTAAACTTGAGGCAGACTCCTAGCCCGCGCGGTTGGGGACGCCTGCGTATTAAAAGAAGTTTGGCGCCAAACACATTAACCGTGCTCCGCATCCTACAAGCGGCCGCATCCTGCAAGCGGCCGCCCCCTACTGCGAGGGCGTGTTGCCATGGGCTTATGGCAGTAGTCCTGGGTCGTCCTTACTGTGCTTTTATTTTTTCTTTAGCATGTGTTTAACACAAATCTTACTACTTTAACCGTGTTGAGTGTGTTACATTCAATGGCATTAAGTCCATTTCAGATGTGCAACCATAACCACTCTCCATCTCCAGATGCGTCTTTTAAAAAAAAAAGCTTTGTTGAGATATACAGTAGCATACTTTCCTGTTGCTAAGACAACACCTAATACCCAGCTTAGAGGAGGACAGGTGTGTTTTGGCACACCGTCGTTTGTTTGTTTTAGAGGATTCAGTCTATAGTACTGCCTTCAGAGCAGGAAGGATGGAAGAAAGGCCTGGGGGCTCTGACCGAAAAGCTGTGCACATCTTGGAAGTCCGGAAGGAACCAGGGAGGGATGTACATCCCTCAGGACTACCTTCACGTGGCTTGCTTCTTGCAGCCAGATCCCCACCTCTGAACAGCATTTTTGGCTCAGCTCTTACATTGATTAATCCACTAAGGAGTACAGTACCCCTATTGTTCCAATTGCCTTCCAAAAGCACGTCCTTAGAACACATGTGCCTTTTGCGGGATATTCTATATTAACCCA